TAATATATGTTTTATTTTCTATTCCTCTGAGTGAGTGAGTGCAACATTCCAGCAATGTCATTACTGGGAAACTGAAATGGCCTTCACACATTCATGTATCTATGTATTGTTAAACGGTGCAATCTGCAATATTCCAGCTATAATATACTGGCCTGTTAAATGTCAAGTCTGGTCCAGATAGACCAGTGAATTTTGATGAACACGTAGTCGGTTAATATCACACACAATCAACCAATCATTGAGCCTTTCCGATCAAAACAGAATCCTCCTGCGAATGCGTTAGTTAAGATTTAACTTCGCATCGACAAAATATCAGCCAAATGAGCAACGTCCCATCCTCTAGACGTCCGACCATCACGTTACCTTGGAAATGGATCAGTTATATCTATAACAATAAACATCCAATGGTCTGTAGCGTGTGTGCCCACACTGGTTGATTGTGTCAGATTCGGGTTCATACATCACTTAATCGTTTAGTCAGTAAATGACCACACAAGATCAATGAATAATAAACAAATTATATTCAAACATACACGTCAGTTTGAGGCTAAAAATCACAAAGGGCAGAACAATAAGTCAAATGTGCACTCTTCATGAATAAATGGTTTCAGAAATGGAAATGGTTTCAGAAATGGAAATGGTTTCAGACAAGTATTCCATCCACACTGGGTGGTGGACGAGATATCGTTAATATATCAGCAATCGCAAAATAATATGTTCATCTCAGTTCTTTAAAGTGGGCCGGTAAGGCGGGATTTAGTCAAATTTGTGTACTTCGGGCAAACAGCACCAAACTTGACACACTGATACGTTGAACCTTTCCAAACATTTCTGGATATGGATCCACCTTCGAACCCCCCTCTGGTGGTACAAAATCCATGATTGCCACCAACATGATGCAAATCTTTACTCAATATATCATACTTATCTGGTCAATCTTAATAAATTAGGAATGGTTAAATGTATAAGGGTGCCAAGTATGGTGCTTTTAACCTAAAGTGCACAATTGTCGCCTTAACCGCCGCTCTATTAACGTCAGCGACATAGCTTGGTATTGTAAGAATGGTTAGGTAACAACCTTTAACATATATAATTAGGAATGTTAACACTAACTCCTTGAACCTTAATCTTAGCGATGTGAATATCATTTTTTCTTTTATTTCATTGGCTATTTATTTTTGCGGTTGGAGCGAATTCATTTGTGTGACGCATTTAATGACAATATAACCGTCGCCACATTTCAAAGAATATCCTGGAACAAAAACTATCACCATCCTTTGCTTCTAATTAGTGGATCGTCGTGTGAAAGCAGCGTGTACTGTAATGTAACATGATTAGAAACTACACATCACTCACAAAGAATAATTATTATGTTTGACTGGAGTTATACACAATTAATGGCTTCAGTACATCAAATTTATTTCCTGAGTTCATTTGAATACTCGATTCTCTTTGTTCTTTGAAGATAAGAAAATGATCATCCTAACTGATCCAGTAAACGTCTTCTCACTGAATGAGTAGTTTGATGTAACATTAATTTATTCATGCATTCTAGAGAAAGGGCTCAAATCCCGATTCACAACTGGCCCAATGGCCAGCATACTCAGTAGCTACGGACCAGATTTGAACCTATGCAGGCCGGTAGCTAAAGCCTTTGATATACTTCAACATCGTCTAACCGTACAGCATTGCCGTGAAAGGGTGGTTGGGAGATAAATAAAGGCGAAGAAAAACATATCATTATCCTAGAAATTCTAATTTATCATTCTGACTATATCATAAGCATGTCCTTATGAATCAACACCAAATGGTGATGACACCACTAGTGGCGATAATTGGGATACGATTACTGCATCAACCCAAACAGCGAGCCTGACCACCTGACCAGGATCTTCATGGGTGTTAAGGTAAGGTGATAGTAAGGGATGATAAAGGGATGGATAGCACAGGTTAACTTAACATTGATCAGGGTAAAAGAAATGTAATAACATATGACTGCTCAAGTTCATTCAAACGTCCAGACATGTGCAAGGCTGAAACATATTTGTCATGTGCTATTGTTCATCTACCACAAGACCGCCTCCGTGGTCTGGTGGTAGAGCGTCCGTCCGGAGAGCGGAAGGTCCGGGGTTCCATCCCGGTGGTAAAAAAGATGGTACTGGCTGCTACCCTGTCTGGCGCTAGGCATTAAGGGGCTCGGAGTCAGTATACTGTGTCTGAGTGGGGTATTCATGTTAAACTGCGGCATGGTATCTCAGTGAGCGAGCACTATAAATCGGCATTAGTCCGGATAAGTACAAGCAGCCACACACACACACACACACACACACACACATATGCATGCACATGCAATAATCTTGGAGGCGACGTTAAACTCAATAGCGCCTCACCTCATCTACCATAATAGTATGTGCTAAATACTTTTACGACCCTCAACCTTCTGTGTATGTGCTTATCCTCGAAGTATAGTGTAAGTGGTATATGCTATTGTTCTACGTGAGTGAGTGAGTGAGTGAGTGAGTGAGCGAGTGAGTCACCAAGCGTTCACGGAAAATTGATTGATACAGATCTGATGAGCATACGACGTGGTATTATAAGGTATATTGCATGTTTCTTTTCAAATAAAAACCTTTTGCTTTTGGAATTGAAAAGATAATTAGTGATTACCACAACAGTATTCCTGTGGCGACAAACGTATTGAAACGGGGTTTCTTTCAACAATTTAGAAAACGGCAAATTCTGACATATAACATAATGTGATATAATATAACACAAGAAGAATGTGATTTCCTTTGTGATTCTGAAGTAAAGTGTCAATTTAGCGAGGTCGTTAATAAATGTACGTAACCTAGGTTAATACTCACTAACCATTGTCCTTTTTCAATTGGAAAGTTCTAATCAATCTAATCAATCATCTAAGAAAGAAATTAATTCTCTGAATACAGACAGGCGAACATCCGTAACCATGAACGCATGAACACACACTCCCTGGTGATCCAATCACGTACGGAATGTTCAACGTACTTTCTCAATGGATGAAGGCCAGGTAGATTGTTAACAACAATTTAGTTCTGATAAATGGATAACCAGTCTAGACACGTGGACACGGCAGTGGGGTTCCAAGTGAGAAGGAGACGTCCGACCACCGCGTTGCCTTGGAAATGGATCAGGTATCATTATGCCAATAAAGACCCAATTGTCTGTAGCTGGTGTGCCCACACTTGTTGGTTATGTCAGATTCGGTTTCATTAGTCCTATCAGTGTACATTGAAGATTTTGATGCTGTGTGTGTGCCGCAATGACAAAATGGGCGAACTATTAGCAGACATTAATAGCATCGGAATTGGGTTATTGTTCAAGGCTGGGGTGTTCATCTGGATCACGACGGCCTGTGTATAATGGAGATGGTTTGGGCAAGCCACTGGCAGGGGGTGATAAACGCTCGATCAGTGAGAATGTGTACATGAAGACATTCCTTTAACCAACACATCCGGCCCACACGGGGCCTTCTTGTGTTGGCTTTTTCGAAAACAGTTGTATAAAAACAAAATGGAAAAAAACAGGTTACATAAAAAAACGCCAGACTGTGCCTCCTTCCAGTGAAATAAATTGAAGCTGTGTCGTTCATGGCGAGTTGCAGGTCTTTGCCATGCCAGGATATGCTGATCATTAGTTCTATAATGCTCACTGGTTTATGAACAAGATATTCATAATGACTGACTGCACCACACCGGTAAGCGTCTCCTCCCATATATATGAAGCAGACACGCCCTGATCTAACAGAAATATTCTTCCAAACGACATTAAACCCAACTCATTCAATCACTCAGAAAGTGCAAATATATTTTAATTTTGGGAGTAATTACGGCACGGCGATGCAGGAGTCACTGTGCAGAATTGCAGCCCTTTGACATAACACAATCTGTTGACCACGGATATTAATTTGCTTGCTCTGTCACCTAAAGTTGTAAACGTCTTCGACTTGTTTTCATTCTTTGAAACTTCGTAGAACCTGTTAATAATGCCATGCCAAAAAACAAACGCAAACATACACTCAAACACCGTTGAATCGAAGAGACCTACGTAAATACATCGATTTACGCCAGGTTCGACACAACCGAACCTGATGAGTAAAGAAGAAATACGCAGGGACCAAAAGTTTACTCCGAGGCAACCGGAAGTTCGACATAACTGTTGGGTATAAATCAAGGTCAGCATGAATTGAAGAGCTGTGAAAAGAAGAAAGCGAGGACACGTTCATGTCGCCCGTATGCACAAAACGTAACTGAAGCCTCGGACATCACACGTAGTTGTGAATATATGTGCCCAGGGTATTTCATTTCCTTTTTACTGAGAACAAGGCAAGACATCTGGTGTACTCGTGTGGTTAACATAATCCGTGTACTTGAATAGTGATGAGTCGTGATTAAGGTGTCGAACAAGATATCTGTCGACGTGGGGCCGTTATGTTGATTTTGGTATAACTGATATACATTCCCAACCACATTATCTCAAAATGTGGCATTTATCAGATGTAATGGCGCGAATCACATTATCACAATGACGCGATATGCTCGAGGTACATTTCACAATATGCATCACATTTGATAGGTCAAGAATCCAATCCGTCGCCATATTTCAAAATAAAGCTCGACCATGTGCACATTTCACTCTTGTGACCCATGCTCTGTAACAGCAATGCAGTGTAACAGTAATGGAACGGAACCCTGCTAACTCTGTGTCTTAGAGACCATCAAACAAGGTTGGGACCGACCCTTAATACTGCGAGGTGCTCCTGGGGGTAACGCTAGAGGCCAAATCATTTTACCAGCATTATCTTGAACACGTCATTATTCTGAAACATTCCATCACCCCACAACCACGCTACCCGAGAGTAGCCAATTACTGGTCTCTTGTCGATATTCGACTAATGTATCGGAATGAAATCACGCATTGCTATTCTGTATTGAGATAACAGAGTAGGAGGTAACACAGTGTCATCATACAAGAGCTATTTCATCCCTCCCTTTGGTTGTCGCTGTCAGCGCAGTACTTCTTTCTATTGCAAATATTCTCCGAAGCTCATATCTGAACAACTTCCCAGACAAAATGTAAATGAAGAAGTTGGAACAGTAATTCAGGTCCGAGCACAACTCAAAGAGGTGAGTCAGAGGACTTATCCTCATAAAAAGTTCCCTCATGCCCTTGTATCCCGTTGCTATGGCAACATGAACAACGATGGAGACGACGACGGACGGGAACAACGTGATGACGTACACAAATGATATTGTCAACAGCATCAGTGTGGTTTTGTGGGTTTTAGCAACGTTTCTCCTGGACCTGGACAGGCTGCTGCCGTTTGGGCTTCGAGGTTTCATCACTCTGTATATCTTGAAAAGCACGAAGATGTTGCACGTGAGAACTATGGCGACCGGTAGGATGAAGATCAGCGTGAACTGGTAGAGATACACGTGCAGTGACGTGTACACGGTGAGGTAGTCGGTCAGGGCCACGCACTTGTCGTCTATCTTGCCCACCATGAAGAACCGGAACACCTAAGGAAGAACAACAGTTCATGAATAAAACTGTGTATGACAAAGAACGGTACAAGAAGAATACAAAAATATAAGTAATAAGTAAAATTAAGGAAGAGAATTTATGGATGTCAACTTCTTTATTACGAGGAACAAAATGTTTCGGAATATATGCTTACTTCGTCACATGAAGGAATGCTATGAGGTAGAGAGTATATATATGTTTGTTTTTTGTTTGTTGTTTAACGCCGCACTCAGCACTATTCCAGCTATATGACGGCTGTCTGTAAATAATCGAGTGTAGACCAGACAGTCTAGTGATTGATACCATGAGCATCGATATACGTACTTGGGATACGGTTGCATGCATGCATATGTGTACACGTTAGAAGAACAAAAGTAATAAGATAACACAAGGTGGAAACTTAACAAGGGAAGCCAACAGATAATTGGCGCAGGTGGTGATTAGCAATAGACAATGGAAGCCAACACTGTACAGTAATTAACGCTGAAAGCAATGGACATCTGGAAGCCAGGACATATTATCACTGATTTGTAAATCGCAATGGACAATGGGCAAACGGGAGGCCGGGGTAATTAGCACTGATAGGTAAAAATATTGAAATAGCAATGGGGAATGTGTTCCTAATAGTTAAGAAGTTGACATCCATAAATTCTCTTTATTATGTGTATAACTTTTAAATGCCTTTCAAAGACTTGATGAGTAAAATTGACTTGTGTAAAACGGTACATAAATAAAACAAGACGAGCGAATGAGTAAAATGATCCAGTGGCACGTGAATAAAATAGAACATGAATTAAATATAAATAAGACGTTCTCTACATTTTCCATAGGGCCCCAAGTGAGAATCCCATTCATGGCCCTACTACGATATTAATTGAACATTGTTTGAAGTTGTAATTTGTGTAATATTTTGACATTGTCCCTGTGCAATTAGAATATTTATCAACTGCTAGATGAATATATGCAGGACCGTCAATCAACTACTCCCCAGTATGTCCCTGGGGGGCACGGGTGGCCAAGTCGTCTAAGGCGCCGCGATTCGCTGTTCACAGTTGCGTCCCTTGGGCACGCAAAAAACCTATGATTGTGGGTTCGAATCCCGGTTCGCCCCGATTATGTTTCTAGGTTTGTCAGCACCATACCCGAGCTCTTGGGTTTCACCGAAGTGGTAAACGTCTGAGACCTGCATCACTTCGGGCTTTCCTCCCACATTAAGCTGACACGCCGTGAAACAACTGGAATACTGTTAAAAGCGGTGTTAAACCCAACTCACTCACTCAGTATGTCCCTGTCGTAGATGGTGTCTCAGGTATCAATCCCGTCACGAGAGTCACTAAAGACGGGCTACGCAGCCACAGTGACACCCTGCAGTAGCCATCGCAAGACAGATGCTGGGGACTTTCAAGACGACAAAGACATCTACAACGCTTAATCTCTGGGGAGGCATGTGAGAGTAAAGATCGGATCCATTTGATAATTAGACTCGGTAGTCACACGGCAGGCCATGCTAGAACGGGCATTGATGGATATGTACAGACATTCAAAACCTCTTGACGTCTCCGGGATATTAGGTAAGGGTTTCCTCTGGGTGTCTGTGTCTCACGTTGAGAACTACGAAAGCTTGAATACATCAATAATTACGTCTGATATAAGACTGTTTCCAGATGGAATTTCTGTCAAGTTTCTTGTTATCGTCAGGGACGTTCGGGCAGTCTAGTGGTTAAAGCGTTCGCTTGTCACGCCGAGACCCGGGCTCGATTCCCAACATGGGTACAATGTGTGAAGCCCATTTCTCGTGTCCCCCGCCGTTATATTGCTTTAATATTGCTAAAAGCGGCGTTAACCATACTCACTCACTCGCTCGTTATCGTCAGTACTTCAGTACTGGTTTTAAACATTTCCATAGATATTTCAGGGTGTGTGGGTAGCCAAGTAGTCCAATGTGTCGCAATTCATTGTAAAGATCGGGGTTCGAATGCCAGTTTCGCTCTGATCATGATTTTTGGATTTTCAATATACCTATGCTCGGAATCGACCATCTACCGAAACAGGTTTCATTGGTGTAAAAATATTTAAAAAAATCCGTAACCCGAACCCTGATGAAAATTAGTTGAATGGCTCAACGAAAAGCAAGCGTTAAGCCCAACTTAGTGTCCTATGCTAATGAAAAACGACAAAACCCTTTTCATGATCGTCAGAAATCTCTCCTGAAGGCAGTGACCATCGTACGATTCCGACTAAATCATGAGAATGTATTTATAGTGAACCACTATCAAATAGTGATGATACCAGTTGGGAATAATGCACTACCGGTGGCATCCGCCAAACATACATGCAAAGGCAAGTCAATTGTTCACCTGGGCGAACATTGCTTAATTTATATCACGGCGTGTCAGCTTAATGTGGGAAGAAACCCGAAGTGATGCAGGTCTCAGACGTTACCACTTCGGTGAAACCCTCGAGTATGGTGCTGACAAACCTAGAAATATAATTAGGTCGAACTGGAACTCGAACCCACAATCACAGATTTTGTCGTGCTCAAGGAACGCAACTCGCGCCGTCTGTTCACCTGAGAGAAGCATGGACATATATAATATATGGTAGTCAAAATAAAGAATTGCATCAAATTTTGAAATTTCCTTCACCTTTTGATTTACTAAACCCTTGTAAGAGTCGTATGATGTTCTGTGAATTCTTGGTAGAAAGAGCACGCTCGAATGTACCTCAAGACACCGATGAATCGAGTTGTTCGTCAATATAATAACATAGTATATATAGTATATTTTCTGACTGATTTAAAGAGTAAGCGTTTAATGTTTAATAAATAACTTGCAAGTAATTCCCAAGCATTTGACTGGCTAACCAAGCAAAAAACAAAATGACCACGCCCATTACCGGAATACAGATTTCGTATCTTTGTGTATAGTTTCTTGTGTTAATGCTTACATAAGCAGTCCATGCACTTTGTAAGAACTGGCTTATTTTTGCTTTTATGGAGGAATAAATGTACAAAACTGGTGTCCACACTTTGTGCATTTCCGCTAATGAAGTCAATTTTTTAATTACAGTTTCTCAATGAAAATTCGGCAGCCATTGTTATTTTCATCGATATGAAAGTTTGTTTATTTGTTGTTTAACGCCACACAGAGCAATATTCCAGCCATATGACGTCGGTCTGTAAATAATCGAGTCTGGACAAGATGAGCATCGATAATGAGCATCGATCCACGCAACTGGGATACGATGACATGCATCAACCAAGTCAGCAAGCCTGAAAATTCGATCCCGTTTTAGGTATGCCCGTTTGCGCTAAGACGGAACCCGGTCGCAAAAATGGCCATGAGAGGGGCACGAGTCGCTATTCGGCTTGTCCCGGAATAACACGAGTTAGTCACGAGTGGATCAAGGTATACTCTGCTTGTTTACAACAACCAGGGACGGTAACTCTTATCACACTTCCTGTTATAATCTGGCCAGTTTGTCACTCGACATTTTACTACTTCTTCAGTCATCTTCTGCTACCGACAATTACTACAAATAAATCTCCTGCAGTATCCCCGGCAAGAAAGGAACGTTGGAATGTAGAATTCATGCGACCTGCATAATTAGCAAAGATGTATTTGTGCACTGATCAAATCAAGTGATGAAGTTTATCTGTCCTTGATATGCTTGATCTCAAGATTAAACTCTTGCAAAGACAAATTCCATCTCATGATCATCAGTATCTGGTTTTTGTTCTTCATCTTCTTAAGGAAAATTGTGAAGATTGTGATCAGTGAACACTTCAATGGGATACTTTGTGGTTCAAAATACATCTAAAATGTTCCAATAACAAAATCAAGGCAATTCGTTCTCAGTTGTAGAGAACATTTCTGATGCTTGTCAAATTTCTTCAAAAGTAACAAATAGGGTGAATACATCCCACCAGCACCAGTGTCACTTGCATCAATTGCATGCTTATTTTGTTTCTGAATATCTGATGTTTGAGTAAGGCTATTACTTTTACAGCTGCCTGGCAGTGGATATCTGAATATGTTTTGTCTGTTTGACACACAAATTAGTGAGAGGGGCCACTACATTAGAGACATTTTGGCATTTTCTACAGTAACCAGCCATACCCAGAAATTTCTTTTGTTTGTCAGAATTGGGAGATAAAAGCTGATACGTTTGCTTTCTTCGGTTGTGCCCAACCTTGAGCGACTACTGATAAATGCTAAAGATACAACTTGGGCAAAAGGAGAGTCTAAATGGCAAAATCTACAGAACACGGATCCTCCTCAAACGATCATCTCACTGGAATGAATGGCTAATCAAGTCGTCGATGTAAGTCTTTATACGCTGTAGGCCTTCAGTGACGTCATTGATGAGGCGCTGATACATAGCCTGTGGGTAAAGTCTACCTGGTACAGTGAAAGAAGATATCGTCTTTGCATGCTCAGTTTTTGGGATCTGCTAATATCCCTTCAAAAGTTCAAACTTACTCATAAACTTAGCTTGACCAATTCTGTCACTTTAGTCATCAATTCTGGGTATGGGATACGAGTCGATTTTGGTTAACGAGTTTATCCGTTTCAGGTAGGTACAACATCGGTAGGTTCAATTATGTCGTTCCCCAACATATACTTGACGTCTCTTCAGAAGGCAATGCATCACCTATATCTATGTCATAACTAAACTGGTCATAGTAACCAATGACTATGGTCTGCCAAGCGTTGTGGTGCAATTTCATTGCAGCAATATCTACAATGTAGATATCGCTTGATGTCACCCAAGCGATATCTCCTTCGTCATATTCAAATGACACAACAATGGACAATTAATAAAATAAGTGACTTGCCATTGTATGTGATATGACGGGCACCACCGGTGGTGCAGGATACGCTCACCTGGTATCATTACTATTTGATAGAGATTCATAAACGCATTACCATGAAATAGTCGACATTGTACAATCGACTTGCTTTATGCAGATATTTCTATTGAATATCGAAAGGGT